AGCTGTCAGCTGATATTGATTTACAACTGCTATCCATTCCTTCCCTCTCCTGTCCCTCACTGGCCATCTCCCTCACCTCTGCAGCCCTGCTCCAAACATGCACCTTGAGGAGGATACGCCCCCAACCGTGGCATACTAAATCAACACGCTACCTGCAAAAACATTCCCGTTGGGCTGAACTCTCCTGGAGGAAGTCTTGCATCCAGTCAGACTTTCTCCATTATAGACTCCTATTGTGCAGCCTTTGCCCTCGCCAAACAGTCATACTTTTCATCTCTCATTAGTTCATGCTCCTGCAATCCTAGGCGTCTCTTTGACACCTTTAACTCTCTTCTTCGCCCTGCTGTGGCCACCCCTCAAACTAACCTTACAGCCGATAGCTTTGCATGCTACTCTACCGTCAAGATTGAACAGCTAAGGAAAGAATTCTCCCCACCTTGCTGTTCTCTTTCTCAACCACATGTAGATTATGCCCTTCCTAACCTTCAGACTTTCTCCCCGGCTACTGAACAAGAGGTGGCTGCGCTTCTCCTTTCCTCTTGCCCCACCACTTGCCCACACGATCCTGTCCCATTTCCCCTTATCAGATCTCTCTCTCCTTTCCTTGTGCCTTCCTTAACACACATCTTCAACTGTTCTCCATCTTTTGTTGTTGTCTCTGCTGACCTTAAACATGCCACTGTAGTACCCATCCTGAAAAAAACATATCTTGATCCATCCTCCCCCTCTAACTATCATTCCATATCCCTGCTCCCTTTTTACTCAAAACTTCTGGAAAGACTTGTCTTTGCCCGTGTGTCTCACTACCTCAATTCCAACTCTCGCTTTGACCCTCTTAAATCTGGCTTCGGCCCCCTCTCCACTCTATTGATACTGCTCTTATCAAAGTTACTAACGACCTAATCGCATCTAAATCCAAAGGCCACTACTCCATACTAATTCTTCTTGACCTCTCTGCTGCCTTTGACACTATTAATCATGCTCTCCTCCTTCAAACTCTTCAATTACTCAGTCTCTGTGACTCTCTCCTCTTGTGGTTTTCCTCTTATCTCTCCCAATGCTTATTCAGTGTCTCCTTTTTTTTTTTTCTTTTTTTTTTTTTTAACCCAACAATAATTGAACAGTTCGTAAACTTACAAGAGTGAAGGACTACAAATATAACCCAGTATAAGCGTGGGAATGCACAGTGACCGCAACTGTATTGGGGTCCCCCTCGGAGCAGTTGGCCACTAGAGAGAGGGTTAAACAATATCATATGACCAATAGTGTTTTAGATCTACCTATCAACTTGTACAACAAAAGAAACGTAGAATAGAGTTACAAGTTCAGGTGGAATTTGGCACACTAGGAGAGTCTAGTAAAATGTCCCAGCAGTGGGAGGTCGAGCTCTGACCAAGCATCTCCCCCTCCCCCGTCCCTGCATGGGGACAACCTGGATCCCAGTTCCCAGGTTCCTGAGGGTATAGAGCGTGAGGCAACGATGAACAGGTATGGTCGAAAACAGTCCAACACTGACGCGGGACTGCATGGCACATGTTGTCCTTCTGTTTGGTGAGTGAAGAGGCTCCCGATGGGTTGAGGCTAAGGTAACTGAGTATGCGTTAATAGTTCTGATTGCAAGTGCTGGCAGGAGGGATTGGTTTTCACCTCGCCGTAATGTTCTATCTGGATAACTGCGGGTGAGCCCAGGTGTGTGAGAAATGGCTCCGGTTGATAATCTCCTGGTTCAGTGTGCCAACTGTTGGGCCTTCCTGAGGCAGGTGTTAGAGTTCGGTGTGGTGGTAGCCAGGTGGGGCACTCCGCGGGGTTCCCAAGGTTCGATGTGTTAGCGGACGCTCTGTTTCTTGAAGTGGTGCGTTCCGTTGGTCGGACGTCTTAGTGATGAGGAAGATTCAGCTGGAGATATGTTCCATTCGTGGAGAAGCTGCAGTCCCTCTTCTGGTGTATATAGGACAGTGGTTTGCCCATTTCTTGTCACCAGCAGCTTTGTGGGGAGACCCCAACGGTATGTTATTGCTGGTTACGCAACGCTCCTGTTGTAGCCGCAAACTTCCGCCTCTGAGCTAGTGTCTCTCTAAAACTGAGCTCCTTGTCTTTCCTCCTCTTTCGCTCTCCCTTCAAGTTAGTGGTATCCACTTAAGTCTATCCTTACAAGCGCGCTGTGTTGGCGTGATACTTGACTCTGGCCTCACCTTTGAGCCTCACATCCGGTATGTTGCCAAATCCTGTAGATTCCATCTTAAGAACATAGCCCGCATCCGGCCCTTTCTTACACAAGATGCTACCAAGATGCTTGTCCATGTTCTAGTAATTTCTGGATTATTGTAACCCTCTCCTAATTGGTCTTCGCAAAAGCCGTATTGCTCCGCTACAGTCTGTAATGAATGCTGCCACCAGACTGATTTTCCTCTCTAGTCGGTCCTCTCACACCTCACCCCTCTGTCAGCCCTTACATTGGCTTCCTGTATCCTATAGGAGTCAATTCAAAGTGCTAACCCATACCTATAAAGCACTGAACAATTCTAGCCCCTCTTATATCTCATCACAGATCCATAGGTATGCCCCTTCTCAGTCTCTCCGCTCTCCCCTAGTTTTCAAGCGTTTAAGAAGTGCCTTAAACCCATCTCTTTAGTAAAGCTTATGGCCTCCCAGACTAACCTCTAACTCACATACCTTTCTCTTGCTCTCTCATAAAGGGCTGTACTCTACGCTCTCCTCCAGCTCTGCTTCTCCCACCCTATTTGATTGCTATTTCCTGTCCTTTTGTCCACGTCCTATAGACTGTAAGCTTGTTTGAGCAGGGCCCTCTTCAACCTATCGTGTCTGTAAGTTTTTTGTAATTGTCCTATTTATAGTTAAATCCCCCCTCTAATAATATGTGTGCTATGGAATCTGTTGGCGCTATATAAAATGTGAGAATAATAATAATTAACAATGAAAAAAGTATTATACAAAATATTTTTATTGGCAACCCAGCTTAAAGGGACATTACAAGGTATGCCTCCATACAAAATAAATAAAAATCACCGTTTAGCAAATATACCCCAAATGAAAACTTTGTTATGCATTTTTCAATTGACTGTAAATCTAAAGACCGCTAGCAAAACCTGCAGTTATCTTGTCTGCTGCCTATGCAAGTCTTCCTCTTCTAACCACACCCAGACTTTCTGTGGCTGTCCAATCATAGACTTACCAATGCAGTCTTTGCACGGCAGGTGGGCAATTGCGGTCTCTTGAGTTTAGCTCCACTGGGCTAACCAAACCAGGAAGTAACAGGACCAACTGTCTGCTTGAAAGCCAGGGGGTCTTCCACAAGGCAAACAAGGCATCTGCCTTGGGCGGCACTTTGCAGGGGGTGGCAAAAAAAGCTGCTCCTAAATGCCCAGGCAGATCCCTTGCTTGCCTCGTGTCCTGGGGGCTCAAGAGCTGGCCACTTTTGAGACCCCCCAGGCAGCGAGGGAGCATGCTCACCTGAGCTCTTCCTGCTCAGCTCCCTCCGGGCCGCTTAATGAAGCCGGGAGCCGGAATATGACGTCAGACCGGCTCCCGGCATCACTAAGCAGCGCACGAGGGAGCTGAGCAGGAAGATTAAAGCTCCCTCACCACTCTACCTGTCCGCCCCATGCCTGCCCGCCCAGCAGCACAAGCAGCCCCATTAGACGTTTGGACCGCAGATAATTAATCCACTCCAGCTCTCCCAGGGAGGCTGGGTGGATTTAAAATAAAATAAAAATAATAATTTGTGAGTGTTGGGAGAAATGTGTGTGCGTCTATGTGAGTGAATGTGCGTGTGTCTGTGAGTGAATGTGCGTGTGTCTGTGAGTGAATGTGCGTGTGCGTCGGTCTGTGAGTGCGTGCGTCTGTCAGTGTGTGTCCAAATTATAGTGTGCGTCTGTCAGTGTGTGTCCAAGTAATAGTGTGTGTGTATGTCATTGTCAGTGTATATGAGAGTGTGTGTCTGTCAATGAGTGTATGCGTCTGTCAGTCAAAGTGCGGCCTTGACAGGAAGGGGTGGGTAAAATTTAAATTGGCGGGGAGGAGGCCCTGAGCACCGTCCTGCCTAGGGCAGCACAAATCCTAAATAAACCACTGTACTACAGTAAACCTTTTTAATATTGTAATACACGTGACTGCTCTCATTTATATTGTGATCTCTTTATTCAAGCAGATGGTTTCAGCTTTATAGCACAGAGCCTCTTATACCTCACAAAACAGATCCGAGATCCTCTGTTTCTTAGGAAGCTTATTCCTCAAGCCATGCAGTAATTTACACAATCTGATATTATATGGCTGCCTTTATTGCCTTGGTTTCCACTGAAATACTATGCAAATACTATCTAATTATTTTCCCCTCCCCACATACAATAACATAGGGGGTTATTAACACAAAATGGTAATTAATTGAAAACCACATAAATGATACGGGAAAGTCTCCAACTCCATTACAGCTTTAACTTGACTATTTTTAGCCTAAGTTTTGCAGTTCGGTTTTAAGTTTACGCTAAAGTATAATGTTTTAGCGAATAAAACACACTGTTTTGTGAATTGTATGAGTATTACATTCTTGATGTAAATCACGCTGTTGCCACTAGAAAATAATTATACAAAATAGACAAAAGAAATAATTATATCTTACTCTCTCTTCCCATCCCAAACTAGTGTGTGTCTGAATACATGAATTGGGAGAAGCAAACTGCTGTTTGCTTGCCTCCACCAACTTTATTGCTAAACTGCTTTTTCTTGCAAATGAGCTAAATGACCGCTCACTTTGAGAACACCTGTTAAAGTGTACTTGACATTGTACACACAATTTGGGATTAAATGAAAGAACATTAAATTGCATTTATACATAGTGCTTTAATTTACATATCGACTTCTTCATACAGGTCTATATAGAGGAGTGACTAGGAGAGCAAGCGAACACTCCAAAAAGTGGCTTCTTTGCTCTCCTGCAGCAGAGATGGGTGACGAGAGGGTGGGTGTTCTAATCGTTTGCATTGTACCCCAACCCAGTCCTCAGGGACCACCAACAGTCCAGGATGTATGTATTTTCCTGTTTTATTCCAATATAAATACTGACAAAATCTGGAATGTTGGTGGTCCATGAGGACTGGATTAGGGAACACTGGTACAAAGGACTTCTGAGAATGGCTGCACTGGAGGGAGAGGTAAATAATGCTTTAACAGCCCTCAAAACAAATCAATATGTAATGTGTCACTCTGATAAATTATGTTTACTGCTTTGAGAGCTGTTGTATGTTAATGTGAACCTGTTATTTAAAGATTCCCAGTAGATTCATGACAAAAATCATTATATAAAGTGCATATCACACATATAAAGTGCCATTTTATTACAAAGTGCAATACGATTGTAAAGTGCAGCAAAATTCTGTGCAATATTGTACTCTGCAATTCATAGCGCTGCGCACACTGAATTGTCACACATTGCACAGGTAAACACTTGCACTATAAGTGTCGTGTAAGTTCTTTTAATATGGTAGGTCATCAAACAAGGGGGGAAAAAGAACAAGTAGTGTAATACTGCAACCTTATAGTAATACAATGTAAGTATATGGGTGAAACCACTTACAAGCATAGAGCAGTAAGTTGCCTGCTCAAACCATGAAAGCTCTAGTACTCCACTGACCATATGCAATCTACATGTGTAGTGATCGAGACAGAGATATGAAGTAATGAACGAAATGTAAACTTTGTTGTTCAGATTACAAACCCAGGTTCACCCTCTTTGTAATACACTCCTTCCCAGTGAAGCCGCTCAAGAGAATGCTTTGTCCGGTAGACTGCAATCTCTGTCCTTTGGTTCTCCGGTCTCGGGCGCACTTCATGAGTTCCAGGAGGCTGGGCTTTACGTCCAAAATCACAGTGACAAAATAGGCAGATTGGATGTATACCACATTATAACCAATACACAATGGTGCCGACAGCCTAGATGCCTACAAATACATGCTTGCACTGACCTCAGTTGACTCTCACAATTGCGCAAGAGTTAACACTGAAGATCTGTGATTCTCTGCATCCAGAAGTGAAACAATGTTGGACAGACGTAACTAAGATGGCCAGTGACAAATTTGACAGAAGACTTGGAGCTTGACTAAAGTCCCTATTTTTCCTTACGTATAACGTTTCAATTAAGCATCATTTCTCAAAAAAACAAACAAAAAAACACAACATACAAAAGTAAAATAACTACTTTAATGGGCAACAATGTTAAACAAAATATGTTGATGCCAAGGTCATGCAGTGTAGCGGAACAGACACCTTTTTATATACTTTTATTCCCTTCGTTCGGCTGTCCGTTCGTTTACCAAACCCCCATCTGTGTGGTTTATGTGTTCGCACCTTTTAATCACTGACCATCCCTGGCTGTTAACCGCAGAATGCTTGTTAAGGAAAGTGTTTCCCCTGTGTGGCCATCGTTCATATAACCAAATGCACGTGTTAAAACAATTGGTGGCCATCTTGTCTCCCGAACGTGGACTACAAACGGCTACCCACCGCCGCTAACGCCCGGTCAACTGGTACTAGTGCCCATGCAACTTCCCGAACAGGAGAATGGCGTTTGGTCAAAACTTAATTTGAATGGTTTTCCCGAACCACCGAAGGGATCTGAGTGATATTTTAGCAAAGTGTGTGCTCAGATCCAAGCTATTGGTGATGTGACTTTCATGGGGTTCTGAAGTTATTAAAATGGATTTTTGTATGTTTTCAAATATTGTAGATTTTTCCGTTCCGGAGAGATAATTGAATTATATATATATATTTTTTTTTTTTCTCACGCAATTATCTCTCAGGTACAGAGGATCCTGGGATTGAAACCCCTGTATTATTGTGTTTAAAACCTCTTTTATGGACTGGGCATAAAAGCCGTGTGTGACTCAATAAACTTCAGTTGAACTCCCAGAACTGTGTGTCGTCCAGTTTCTTGGGAGGAGATGAAATATTTCTTTGGTGGTTTTGCTTGTTCCTGATTGTACTTTGGTGGATCCAGCTGAGAAAAGTCCCTGCTACCACTAGGGCTCCGCTACATGCTGCAGGTGTCTCTTCAAATTTAATTTCATTTGTACATTGTGCTGGCCAAGTCCCATTCAATTTATATTGTAAAAGACGATCTTAAGTTTTAGATGGTAGTTATGTACAATTGTTATTTAATTAAAAAGTGCATAAATAGTAGTTTGTGAAAAAGCATTTTAGTGTACAAAAATAGCAGCTCTAAAACACTTGTGAAGGATGACCTCACAATCCTCACCAGATAATAAACCGTAAAAATACATTATAGGTGTAACACCCATAATTTACTTTTATGAGTTCTACACTTATATATTTTTGCGATGTGTAGTTCTTATTTTTGTTTTTCTAAACTCTATTTCTGGTTTGAGGATGCTTTATTCATTCAAGGGAATCCGCCATCAAAACTGTATTGAACTATTACATTGTGGTTCTAGTATTGTAAGATCTAGCAGGTAATTTACATGCGTGTTGATGACCAAGCTAATCGGTTTAGAACCATGCTTGCTCATACCTGGTCAAAAAAAAAAATACCTTTTATGCCAAACTTTTTTTTTTTTTGTTTTGTTATGTTTTTTTTAAAAATCATTCCCGAAATCCATCTGTGACTTAAGTATTACATTTGGAAGTGTTAAACTCTTCCTATACAGTATCTATATTGTTACTAGATAGGCTTCACTAGTTCACTAAATGGTTACACCAAGCATCAAAGCCACTTCAGTGATTTAAAGTGGTCATGGTGCTTGGATTCTGTATGTGCAGCATTTCAGTTTGAAACTCCAGATAGACTGAGTTAAGGTACACAGTTGCCCGACGTGTAACTCCACCTTCAGTAACATCATTAGTCAGCCAGGAACCAGAGTTCAGGCTGGCTAATGCAATTTCTGTATATATTTGTTCCTGCCCATAACACGCATAGCATGCTTTGGACAGATGACCAATGACGGCAGACCTCCCAGCCTGTGCCACCCTTCAGACTGTTCACCCTAATATCCCTCCCCGTGCAGTGACTGGGATCAAGATGCAGGGAGAACCTAGCCTTGACTCTGGATCAAAGGTCAGTATTGCTTTTTTCCCCTCAATATTTCTACGGCATGGGTTATTCCATCCAAAAACAGTGTTTTATGCTTATTGGTTGGAACAACACTTTAATTGCTTAGACAATTAGAGCACTTAATTGCAATGCCTAGCTCCTGATATAGTTCCCTGTGACTATCTCCTTATGAAATGTCTATGCAAGCTCCTTTTAAGCTTTTATTTCATACACAGGAGACCCTGAATCCGGTATTTGGACTAGTCAAAGCAGCAGCAACCACTTTTGGGTTGTTCATGTGAGATCAAAATAATGTTGATCTGAGCAATCACGAATGTTGATCTCTCTGCAGTCCATGAGTATGCTTAAAAAAATTTAAAATAGAAGTGCATATATGCTTGCTTCGAGGGATGCTCCGTCCACAAGCAAAGAGACAGTCTTAGGTAGGCACAAATCTAGGCACTTGTTAATTATACTCCAGCCAGCTAGTAATTTATTAAACTGCATAGAAGACTAGACATAGACTATAAAAAGCTCAATGCCGTTTTTCAGACTTTATTTATTTATTGACAAGATCTATATTTCATGCAGTTTATGGGTTTCTCCATTCCCTCTCCACGCCTTTTTTTTTTTTTAGTTAGTTAGATGGAGGAATCCAGTTTGAATTAACCAACTAATCAGATTGTATATTCCTTTTTGCTAAAAGTAAAAAGGCATTACGAACAATATACAGTCCTGCAAAATGATACTCCCAAAACAAAGATTATCAAATTAACGATTAATTTGTGTTTGCGTGTGAGCATATGTAAAATATAAAAATGGATGGATGTACAACTGACACTCTATCCATTGAACAAAAATGCACGAGAAAAGTACACGTTAAATGGTTTAACCCCCGAAAGTAAGACGGCGCTGAGTGCATTTAAGCGCCCTAACTTCATTGAGGTGAAGCTGCCATGGTACTTGTGGTGTTTTTTTTTTTAATAGGATTAAAAGAAGAGCAACACACCATGAATGAGTCACTCTAAGTAACATAACCAATACTGATTTTTGGAGTAGTTACAATGAAAATATTTCTTTGGGTACCATAACCCCTTCATACCCTTATCTTTGTGATTTTTCCCTGGTTTTGTTTTTGAATATTTCTTTAAGCAGAAGGAACGTTTGGCCAGCTCTTCAAAGCTTGAGGTATTAATCCTGTCTGCGAGGATCTGTTTTGTTCTTCCATTAAAAAGCTATAACAAACACAATCCTTTATTTCTACTGGGCTTAAACAGGAACTGAATGTGTAAACTAGAACAAAACAAATGAATGCAAATCAAAATCACATTAGACATACTGCAATGTGTTTTTACACTCTGCTGCTCTCTTGGGTGCTAGGTTTTCTGCTCTTCGCCAGCTTTAGAATTCAACAGACAGATTAAAATAAAGCGAAAAAAAGTATGTTTTCAAAATTGCATTACTACCAAATGTGCATGTATGTATGTATGTATGTATGTTTGTATACGTGTGCTCCCATCAGCCGCATCCAGCCCCCACTAACCTATTGTCATTTGCTCCTGCCCAGTCCCACTGGACCCCAGGGAAGCCACCCCCCTGAGCCCAAAAGGTAGGAAACAGGAGGGTGGCTAAAAATATGTATTTTTAAAAAAAAAATAAAAAAATTTGTGTGCGTATATCTGTTATTTCTGTTTGTCTGTGTATATCTATGAATCTGTGTTTTTGTGTATGTGTGTCCATTCTTGTGTATCAAATAATACTTTGTGTCTGTCAGCATGTATGTGTCTGTCTGTGACTGTGTGAGAGTGTGTGTGTGTGTGTCTCAGTGTCTGTCTGGGTGTGTGTATGTCTGGGTGTGTGTGCGTTTAAGTCACCAGCTCCCTCTGATTGCATGGGAATGGTGTTGTTACTCACCTTTTTTCCAACGCTATGCCGGTCTCGCTGCAGCTGGCCAGCCTCCATAGCTAAGATTATCAATTTCCTCATAGAGATATAATAAATCAATGCTCTATGGGGAACGTTCAGGGCCTCCATGCAGAGCTTGAAGACGCTGAATGTAGCTAGG